ATATGATGTTTTGGAGTCAAAACGTTTTTCAGGAAAATCGGAGTTAAAGCGATTCTGAGTCGTTTCTAAATATTAGAAGGTTTTGTTTTGTGAAAAAAGTAGTGCTTTTTTTATAATGCGTGCCTTGAAGAGGCAGTGCTACAAGTAGCAACGCTTGATTCGCTGTAAATACTTTGTGGGGTTGTCATGCCTTATTAAATCAAAAATACGCATGATGGTCATGATCATAAGAGACTTGGTTTTGTTATTAAATAGCAGAAATAAGTGAAGAAAACAGTTTACTGCTAAATAGCTGACACATCCGGCTACGCCCTGCCCTGTCAATGTATTATAATTAAAGGCAGCGATTCAGCAAAACCAAACACACCAAAATTTTGACAATGGTTGCCTGCATCCCAAAAATGAGAACAGAACAGGTCCAAGCGCACTGCATGGTGCCACCGCCTAGAAAAGTGTCCCTAGACTCGTGCGCGCAAGCCATTTTTACACGCGCTCGGACGAGCTTGAGATTCCCCTCCGACCGTTAGACGCTGCATGCCGCAATGTTATGAGCATCATAGTCCCGCAACGACTCTATGTCTCTAACCATGACGTGAAGCGTTACACTCGCCCAAATTGAGAATGTTGCCTCGGAAAATGCTGGTTTTCGCCGTTTCCGCGCTCTTTAAAGTGTATTTTCGGAATCAGCGCGTCGAAATATCCCAGGTAAGCGAAAAATTCGGTCGAAGATTTGCCGAGCCACTGCCTTTAAGGCCACACGGGTTGGGCAAGACTGCGCAGTGTACGCGGCGTACGCGCCATATCTTTATGCACTTTAGCACACCCTGCTTACCATCTCGTACACCGTTACGCCGCTGAGTCCGGCTCAATCCTTCCCCATCTTGTACAGTATTTCTCCGTCCGCCCCACTTCTATACAAGTCCCCCCCCCCCCACTGTGTTTCGTAATCAGCATACTCACTTACCTTTCTGTACTTCCCAGCTTCCAAAGCGAAACTTTTCAAAAATCGATAAATTAGATAAATGCAGTGGGTACTTTTCCAAATCAATGTTGCTTCCGTAATCAACGCCGCCACCTACCCTCCTGTGTAAACTCCTAGCCCTGTAGCACAAACTTTGCAAAATCGATATGGATAACGAATAGTAGCCTATCACATCCGCTCCTCCTCAAAATCTATGTGTGCAATGCTTGGTTCGGATCTGTTTGAAAATAAAAATTTTTGTTCACATATATAAAGACAGACAGGCACTCATACATGGAACTGAATTTGCAAACCAATCATGTAAAGTTGTAACTACATTTGTTTTTGCAATCCTTTTCGGCTGTTTTTGATTTATAGTCACGCTCCCTTTGTTGTTCGGTCAAGTGCTTTACGTTCCGGTCATCATTTGATGCGATCAGCATCGTTATGCAAAAGTGTGTCAGCAGGCTCTACCACTGAGACATGCTGTTACGGTCCATAGCGCCTGCTCATCCTTCTAAGGCCCCGTCCAAAGTGCCGAAGCTGTGCCGGTGCTGAGAAAGCGCCGAGACAAAGCGTTGTGCTGTTTTGGCGCTGCCTGAGCTAGGATAAAGTTATGGTCACTTCGACTCGTCACCGCCAGTTTTGATCAAAATCTTTAGCAAAATCTCCGGTAGCGCCGAGACAGCTCCGACACTCTGGGCGGAGTCTAAGAGCTCAAATGCGGGACTTGGGAGCGGGAGCTTAATAGGCTAATAGGCTTAATAGGCTCGAGTCGGCTAGCGATAGTAGACGCATTCTCTTCGCTATCTTCGATTATGCCCAATAACAACGCTCAGCATGTTTAGCAACGGTCATGAAATGCTGAACCTATGGAACTCGAAGTTGAAACTGGCTCTTGGCCAAAAATTTAAAATTATCGTAAGAAGCTGATAGTAGACGAAATAGTAGTATTCTGGCGTGATCAGAAAATAGCAGTCTATAGTTGGCATAAAAATTTTCTTTTATAAATTGAGTCAAGCTGCTAGAGTTCGGTAACACACTTGAAATTTTTCATAATTTAGATTCATGGTCATAATAATTCGTGATGGAAATTAAAGATCTTTGGGAGCGCTTAAGCATTAGTGGTTTTGTCTTTCTGCCCTACCAACTGATTTTCTCTAGCCATCTTTGCTCTTGAAAGGTAGGGTGAAAATTCATCAAATTTTTTGGATGCATTCCGTAAACAAATGCGGTTTCGGAGTACACAAACTATTTGGACAAAAAGTCGCTGAAATGATGTGTTGACCCCGGGACTACATTTGGTCCATTTATGAGCTTAGAAAAGTTCCTATCTCTAGTGATGACTAAAGAACAGTTTCTGTGTATCTGTACCCCTTTTTGGCAATCTTCATTTCATTAAATTACCGACTAATCTGTTCTCCGGATCAACAATGGTCTCAGTTTTATCTCAAACATGCGCCCTAATCTACTAATTGCTCAAAAATTCGATACCTTTGTAAGGTAAAAAATTTTGGGTGCGTAGCTGCCGACACGAATCTTGATTTGAAAAAGGTTTTCATTAGCCCCCCCTCTCCCCCTCGGACGAAAATTCTGGGATTGCACCTGCTGTTTTGCTACGGGAAATGGCAGTGGCTGTAAATTCAAAAACTTTTTCAATATCATCCAGAACTTATCACAAAGTGGACCGCGAGTTACCTAATTGCCCGAAATCTCCATCAAGAATTTTTGCAGACTGCGCATCGAAATTATCATACGATCTCGTTGCACCGCAGGAACTGCCTTATGTGGGTCTAACCCCCCCCCCCCCTCCTGCCTTCTCCTTCAGGAAAGACAATATCGAGTCGACACTACTATTGCTACCTCCACGAAATCTCGGTTGGGATGGATATTCATGGTTCGCGGCGGGCTGTTATGGCGTTGTGTCGTCCCAGTTTTGAATTAACCCAAGTTAGATTTTGCATCAGAAAAATTGATTCATGCACGCTCGGCACAAAGTTGGTTTCTTTTTACGCATAAGCATGCGTACTGCGATTATGAAATAGTCGAATATCCGAAACTTTGTGAACAACAGACACAGTGGTAAGTATAATTTTTTGCAATGATTCGATGATCCAAACGAACAATGAAAACAGTTGACAAGAATTGCGAAACAAAAAGGCAATAAGTGATGAAAGACCTCATTTGCCAATGCAAAAGGGTAAGACACGCTTATGACAAATCCGTATGCATAGCCTACAGAGGCGGTTCCTACCGTCATTATTGGATCCTCTAATATCTCTTCGCTTGTATTCTACGCACGTGTCACTCTATTCATTGCCCAAATGAACTGCTATGATTTTGATACCAGTAGAACTAAACAATAATTGATACATGCATATGCAAGGAAAGGAATGCATGCTCCTTAATACTTAGTGAGTTTAGACTCAATTGTATTTATTTAAAGATGAGTTTGAACTCCATTTGCAGAGTAGAAAGTTTGAGGGCACCATCCTTCTAAGAACAAAACATTAATCGTCCTTTTAATCACACTCAATTTTCCCAAAAAGTTTGTTTTTTATTTCTTAATAGAAACACGTGTTTTAACTGAAGACAATGAAAAGGCTTGTTTAGCTTTTGATGTTAATCGATTCTGTTTTATTACAAAATTTATTTCAGTTTGACTTTGACTAATCATTGATTTCTGTGAATGAAAATTGCATTAGGTTCCAAGTATGATTAATTCGAAGGGTTTTGACTAAGACCTAGTCCTAGTAACTTGAAGTGCCACTTTTCTCAGCTTCGCATGACCATGTTCAAATAAGACTCCGTGGTGAGGCTAGGATTGCTGTTGTGTTCTAGGGAACAACTGGAGACAGCGAGAAATTGTATCTAAAGCACTACTTCACTCGATTTAATTAGGCTCGGATTTATAAAGCTCCATTCCCCCTTATTGGGGGAGGTACAAAACAGAAGAGTTTCTGCACTACATTTAAACGGTAGAGCAGTGACGCTGTATTCTGTAGAAAAAAAGAAGAAGAAGAAGTTAAAACAAAGTTTTCTTTAGTTTTTCCTCGAACAGAGATACAAGCTTTTTTACGGTGAAAAGACAGTATTTTTTTGGAGCAAACAAAGGATTCCTACATGCAGAAATCTGCTGCTTTGCTGTAAGCCTGCAAGAGATTTTTGCTCTAATATGAAAACGCGATATTAAGGAAGTCACATAGCGGTTTTCAAAAGAAACGAAACGTTCTTTATTCTAAATAGCATGAAAAGTTTTCAGTAAGAAAAGCATTTAACACATTGACGACAACGTGACCCACATGGTGGGTCATGCAATGGCTGCCACGTGGGACAATGTGACCCACATGGTGGGTCGCGGCTCAAATTTTGTTAAAATGACCGCTATCTTGGACTACAATTGTTGTAGAAGTTTTCTTACGCTCTGACCCTAGAAAATGCTTTTGCGTTTCTCACCCGCTTCATAGGATTACTGTAATACTGTAGTTGACGATATGCATGATTTTCGCTGAAAAAATATGACTTAGCCGTAGAAGGCATTGTCCCACGAGGCAGACAACTCAAAATGCACACTATCGTCAACGTGTTAAGAACCTTTGCTTAAAAAAAAACTTGTCAAAAAAACAAATTGCCTAACGGCGCTGATTTTGAGTATGCTCCAAATTCGCCAACAGATTCAAGTTTCGTCAAAAACGAGCGCCAGTGCCTGCTGTAGAATATCAATGCAGTTATGGGGACTCAAAGGCAATATGTACTTGGAAAACAAAAAAATGAGAAACTATTAGAACATTATGGCAAATTGGGAAACTATCAGAACGTTATGGAATAATGTTTTAATACATTAACTACACTTACTCCGCAGGCCGCCGCCACTTCCGAATTCTCGTCGAAAGGGAACAGCCCAAAATTTCTCTAGCGGTTGCATGCCATTTCTTCTTCTCGATTATTAGCTACGAAAACAGCAAGCGTATGCTTATACTACAACCAGCATAATAAATTTTTCTTAAAAAATATGAATTTTCTGTTTTTGTAATACCAATGTATTTGCTTCAATCCTTGTTATCACAAGTGCCGATATGAGAGCCCATCGCATGCGCCGAACTTCAAACATATCTTAGTGCCTAGTCATTCAGTATATGACTGATGTTTCAAATTTTTTTTGTTGCTTAAGGAGCACTCTGCAATAAAAGCGAGTATTAAGAAGTTCTTCAATGCAGCACCTGATTTTTGCTTTAATTCCATTGGCTGGAGGCTTTCTATCTGTGAACAAAAACGAACCGATCTCCAGGTTTGTGTTTAACCTCAACAACACTTTTTAAGAATGCTGATTTGCAGGAACTCAAACCATTATCCTGGTCCCTTTCATGTGAATCGGTCTAACGCAGGTTAGCAACAGCTTTTTTGTGCATTTTGTAGCGAAGTACTCATGCAGTACAAATAAAAATCTGAGAAATTAATTGTTCGGGGAAAATGCTGACGTTGTAATAAGATGCTTTTCTTCGAAACTCCATATAAAATTCGAAGTTGCTGACGACGTGGGCCTAACTGGAAATGGAACTTGGGCACATAAAAGACTTGCCGCAACCTAGTCATGGGTTTAGAGTTGTCAAAGCGATTGACACCCAGTCAGCACCGTATGTATAGCTGATTTGTACGCACAGTAATACCCTTATTACAGCAACGCGTGAAATGAGATTAGCTGTACCTTCAAAGTTTAAAAGCAGCGTCCAGGCAAGATTCATCCACCCAGATTAGCACATAGTTGTAAAGAGGGGCCCATGAGTATCCGATCTGCGTTGGTCTAATTCTTTGACGTGCCCTCTAAAAGGAGATACGGGCCTGTGATACGTATACAAGCCGCCCCTTCGCATCACAACCACCCCTGAGGACGAGTGCTTACGCAGGTGTGCGGTTGCATTGCAGTGCAACTGCAATGCAACTGCAATGCAACTGCATCCGTGCAGTTGCAGCTCCTCCCGCTGGCATGACCATTGAGACGAGCAATTCGAAACTCGTCCGCTCCTTGAAGAAAGGGTCCCCAAGAACCGGTTTTTTGGGAGTTTTGAACAATCTGGACTTTACAACTGTAATCAGGGCTACGGAAAGGCCCCAGGGAAGAAACATGAGAGGCGAAATTTTGCCCGAACGCTGCTTTTAAGTTCAGTAGTGGTTTTTGTCAATTAAGGCAAAAATTTGTGTTTGATTTTTTTTTCAGCGCTGTTTCCATTGTAATACTGCTTTTTTCTTTTTGCTTGATACTCAGTCTGCATATCTCAATTACAAATATTATCTTTAATTTACGTTGCAAACTAGCTAAGCTTCAAAATAGTTATATCACACTTTTCTCCTTTACGAAAATAACTAACTGATGAACTCATTAAAGAAGGCCATCACTGCCATTAATGACGAACGAATATTATTCACAAAGATCAAGCATCTATACATCGTTATTTTTCATTTACTCATAAAAAATCATCTTTTTCACAAAATCTCACTCGACTCATAATTCAGTGCCAACTCCACCTATCAAAGTGTCGCCTTTCAGTATCTAACCAAATGACATAGCTTCGTATAAATCTCAAAGCCTTTCAACCTCAAAGGTACAGGACAAAAAAATTTTTGGCTTTGAATTTCTCTTTGTACTTTGGGTCTCTATGAGGTATGATTTCGAAAAACTATCAGGTTGGAAAGTAATTTGAAGTTATGTACTAGGTCATTCCAGAAGTAATTTCGCAGCTTAAAAATGGCGTCACATTTGATAGAATAAAGATTTCTAAGATATCTTGATATCTTAGAAATCATAGCATTCGAGCCAGCATTTCATTATCTTTCTAAATTTTAAAAAATATTTGCAGCATATCCGAGGAGCTCTCGGATATGCTGCAAATAAGCTCTCGGAAAATCACCAAGATTGGTGAAGCATGCTTTTTGAGATGGTCAATGTTTCACAATTTTTCTAAACTTGTACATCAATCCTCCGAAGGAGTCCAAGTAACGATGCGATAGAGCAAGCCTTATTGGGTAGGGCACAACTTTTCCCCTTTTTCATAACTCGCCATGATTTTTCGAAAGATTTTTTTTATCAAAACCATAAAATTTTGGCAGGCCTACACCAGCCACAATCGCATCAAACATCAATAATTATTCGAATTTGAAACTTCCGAGAGGTACTATGATCTAGCACTAATTTTGCAAAGCAAATGAGAGTTTACGGATTCAAACTATCAAACACCGAGTTTTTTGGGTACAGCCGGGGCGGAGCGCGTTCAGAGACATAAGTATGCTTATTTTATCCTCAACGACTAAACGAATCGGGTACAAAAAACACCCATTAAAAAGGGAGAAAAAGCTACATCGAATAGTACCCAAGCTGCTCTCGAACTATAAAACTTCGATTCCGGGTAGACTGGGGCGCGTTCAAAAACACAAGTTATGATGATTTCATCCTCGATGACTAAAGCATCGGGAACAAGAACACCTAGTGAAGAGGGAAAAAAAGCTGCATCGAATAGTACCCAAGCTGCTCCCCTTTAATATTCTACGAGGGTTTAGCTGGCCAAGATGAAATTGGTAGCATCAGTCAAAATTCTATTAGAAAAGTATGACAAGCTGTGGAAAAGAGAAAAAATTGTTTTTCATCCTGTAGGGTTTGCTCTATAGTTACGTTACTTTTCCTTCCTCGGAGGATTGATATAAAAGTTTAGAAAAATTGTGAAACTTGACCATTTTAAAGAGCATGGGTCGCAAATGTTGGTGATTTCCTGAAAACTCATGGACTATGCTGCAATGTTTTATATTTTTAGAAAGAGTATGAAATGCTGCATCGAATGCTTCCAAGATAACCTAGAAATCTTGATTCTGCCAAATGTGGCGCCCTTTTAAAAATAGCGAAATTACTCTTAGAATGACCTAATAAGTTCTTGAAATTTTAGAATGCCCCAGCTTAGCTCCAAGCGTGCAATTGTTTACGTGACATTTCACACCGCATTATGGCTTGTGAGGCTGAGATTTGATTTTTTTCAGTTGACATTTAAACGATATGTTGTATGTTTCGAAGTACTTTATAAGTCCTCCTTTCTCTAAACCTTGGCATGTTGATAGTATATGGAAAAAGCCGCAAAGAAAAAGCTAAACGATGTGTTGTATGTTTTTAGCATATCAAGTTACATTTCTTCTTTACAGAGCTTAGTGAGTTGAAGTTAACTTTGAGTAACACTACACTTACAGTCTCCTCTCTGCTTTGCACGGCTTCATTTTTGCTTAAAACCTTAAGACCTCAAAACTGCCAATTATTCGTAATACATCGATTTTTCCTTAGTTCGTTAAAACGCAATTTGTGCAAATCCATAGCACAAGAAAGCTTCTTTCTTCTTTCTTCTTAACGTAATCTTCCACAACTTTATTACGTCATATCTAAAAGAGAGTATTTATGAAAAGATGTAATTTTTACATGATAACTCATAGTTGCTGGTGTTTATTCCAAGAAAATAACAAGAGAGTTCTTCCGCAAGGTTGACGAAGTTAAGAAAAATGTTGGATTTTGAGGGTTCATTGCGTCAAAAAAGCTCAGTGAGGGAGTAATAAAAAAATTGTGTGGCCATCTTTGAAACCACCATTCAACGGGTTACTACTCATAAGCGGCATATGGCGGGGAGAAATTCTTGAAAGGAGGTCTTATATCACAGCGGTTGGGAAAGCTGGATTGCTCGTTTTTGGCCCATCTTCCGGGGTCTACTCCTATCTACTCTTAACACTTCAGCATTATGAATGACACAGCGTTGGCATATGACCTGGTGATTACCAGAAAAGCACCGCTATTTCTAAGGTTAATTATTTTTTCGTAAATTCAGTGAAAGCGTTATAATGTGCTGAAGATGTTATGGCAGTGCTAAGTTACAAGAAGTAAATATGAATAATCTTCGATGAATTAGTACTTGCATGTTAGAATCACCAAGTAGCTCAGAATCTTCACATTCCATTTCCTACTAGAAAACATGCTCGGCACTACCAAAAATTAGGTTTTTCAAAAGTTCATTCCGTTTTTTTTTTGACCCACCATAAAACGCGTAGAATAAAAATAGACAACCAACTTGAATACTTTTTTACGCTTCTTTTTCTTTTGCCACAAATTATGGTTCGGATTTCATCTTTTATATTTAGGATTTTCTGAAGTTTTTCCATTCAAAACTTCAAAAGAGCTTTGTTGACAGGAACAACGAGAAGACAAGGTGCAATACAACCCATTTTTTGACGAGTCTAGCCGAGCCGGTTTCTAAAAATTTTCAAGTTATTTTCCTGTTGCTACAAATTCCATATTTGGTCGACTTACACCTATCAATCGGCAAATGACACGCTTGTCGTTCGATGGGACTCTCTATTCTTTTTGACGAATACTTTTTCGCATTTCCGATTCAGGATTTGCGAATAAACTTTTTGTGAATGTTACATTCGGATGCGCTCATGACAGTAATAACTCGAAAATTCAAAACTCGATATTTAAGACCGAAAGTGATTGACTGCGTTGCAAAATCGATTTTGAATTCTAACTGTAATCTTCTGAAGATTATTTCAGTTTTTGACAAGCTTTTATAGACACGAACCCGAAAAAGTAAAGACTTATTACCCTAACTTCCGGCTTTTAAGCCGCACCTCATAGAAGCCGCAGCCGCCGCAGTGAACAATGGCGCGAAAGCGGCTCCGAAAAGAATGTCTCTGAATTAAAAATGGAGACTGGATACATTTTGTGACTGCTCACGTTCATCCCTTCAAAATTCTTTACTCTCTTCAGAGATTCGCACCGCTTTGCGAGTGTTTAGATTGTATTTTCTTCCCTCAAGGATACATAGAGTTGATTATGCACTTTTTTGTTTTCGATGATGTTACTGAGTTAAATCTGAGCTATCGTTCAATTTCAACGATACTGTTGGTACTTCAATAATGCTTTTAATGCTTTTACAACAAATACCGAAAGCAGAAAGCTGCTATCAGGCTATTAGATAGTTAATAGTAATTGGCTGTTTCTGCGGCTCCGCGTATCGCGATCGTCATCGCACAATTGCCCGCGCGGAAAATAACTGCGGCTTATACGCCGGAAAATAGAGTCTTTCTGAATAGCCAATAAAAAATGCCCAAAAAAATTTGTTGTATTGTACTCAGGTTACTCTATTCAAATGTCGTCGAAGCTCTTCCGAAAGTCCAATTTGAAATCAAATATTGTAACTGCTGAACATGGTAATATAAGTTCAAAGTTTCGGCGATTGTTTAAGAAATCGCTAATGAAACCACATCAAAAACATAACCAAAGAGAGGAGAAAACTGCATCTGGTAGTGTTCGAGTTGATCGTCTATCTTTATTCAACGTGTGTTAATAGATTGAAAAACAGAAAAAAATCCGGAACGACCACATGTATTGTCAGATCAATCTCAAAGCTTTTTACCAAAAGCTAGCAGTTCAAAAATAGTCGAGGATTTTTCGAGAGTCTTTCCAGGAAATCATGCAAAACTCTAAAATTCTCAGCTTATACGGCAAAGCGGTGTGATTCACTATGCTTAAACATTAGCTTTGCAGATTATTGAAGAGACAGATAGACACAGTAGAATATATATTGTTAAGTGTATCAATATGCAGGGTGTCCCAAAAGTAAGTACACTTTTTTCAATCGTCAATATCTCCCTTCCCAATGGGTCTTTTCTGGCCATTCAAGTGCCATTCTGTAGAGAAGGCTTCAACCTAGATTTACAGTACCGATCGAATCACCTTGCTCTTCGTCACTGTAAAATTATGGTAAGGGATTCCAGCATGTGGAATCATCGTGAAATATGCTATCTGACAAAATTTTCTTCAAAAAATCTGAAAATTTGTGTACTAGGGTTTTCGTGCACGCTGATTCCACTACACAACTTTTTACGAGTGTTTTCAGCTTTTTTAACGGTGTAACCACATTTCTGACAAATACTGAGAATTCGGTTATTACGGCTTACCTGGGATAACTTGGGAAAGAAGCATCACAATAAGGTGGGAATTTCATATTCGAATTCAGCGGCTTCCATTACCATAGTGCAAGGGTTTTTGGCTTGTTTGGTTTTGTTTCTAGGCAGAATATGGCTTCCAATGGCCTAAAATCCTTGTCGAAGTTCCTACAGTAATCCTACAGTGATAAAGAGCGATCCGTGATTCGTTCAATACTACTAATACTCAATACTGCGTTCAATACTAATAAATCTAAGATGAAGCCTCCTCTATAAAATGGTGCTTGAATGGCGGAAAAAGACACAGCGGAAAGAGAGATATTAAGGGGTTGAAAAGTGTGTACTTACTTTTGGGACACCCTGTATAAAGCAACCCTAAATACCCCCATTCTCCAGCGAAAAACATACATACGAGCTTAATCGTATTTTCATATCTACCGTTTGCGCTACAAAATTCTTCATAGTGTTGTTTCTGTCAGCTATCGAAATTGCCTTTTAGCACATCCTGGTCGATGCGAAAGCGGATGGACTTATTACGATGAAACCGATGCTTGCTATAAGGTATGTCGTAAGTTTTGTTATAATCCATTAGGTCTGTCGTAATTTTTAAGAGATGTAGTTACAATTCTGCTCATTTATTGCTGCTCACTCATTTATGCAATGAATTAAAGCACACCTGATTTTAAAGCAGGCAATGATGCTTACAAATGTTGTTGCATGTTGCCAACATCTTGAATGCATGTCGCCAATCACATTTTGCTCATGCGCATAAGTGAACAGACAAAGAGAAGAAACATATGTAAAATAGACTAAGCTGCTCTATGTATCACTGCCGTAATTTTGATCGCTCTGACCATGTTGTTCACAAATAAGAAGACTGTGGCTACTGAACATCTAAGAAAATTCCCACATAATCACTTTTGAAAAGAAGAACCCGCTTTGGTGCCCGAGTGTGACAAATCTGCTTTCATAACATGCGCACATTGACGTTGACAGCTGTCATACGATGCATTTTCCACTATACCAGACAAAGCGCATACAATCAGATTACAAATGCAATAAATCTACTGCAAGTTTAGCGAATCGAATTAGCATGTTCTTTTCTTCCCTAGCAACTAACATGTTTTGCCATGTTTCACCTAAAGATTTTGAAGCATTTGTGGTTTTAATAATCAAATTTTCAATATCCTCTTCACTTCAAGAAAAAGTCCTCCTGTCCTCCTGTGTATACCAACAGGGATAACTTCGTTCGGTTGCTGATGAACATAACTAAAAAAATTTCAACATCCTTTGCACTCATACAAAATATTTCCCTTTCTTTGCCCCACCTTATGAAGCCAGCTCTTTGCACCAGGGCTCGGCACAAGGTGGCTAGTTGAAATTGGAAAAAAAAAACGAAGTCCCTCTTGACTTCTGCGAATTTTTACGAAGTCCCCTTTGACCCTAGACAAGGGCTCGGCACGAGGTGGCGTCTCGAAATTGCAAAAAATCAAGTCCCCTTTGACTTCAATGAAATTACGACATCCGCCACGAGATATTCGAACAGAAAACACACGAAAAGGAACGGAACAAAGCAACAGCAGAAAAAAAAAGAACCATCGAACACACGCGATGATATTCATATTCTCCGGATTGGCGGCATGATGTATCCATCGTGCAGCAATACGCGCTTAGAGCAGCCTTTCCGCCGCCATTCAAAATTTTCAAGGGGCTATAACTAAGCGGGGAGAAGGGGGTTTGAGGCGGTTTAGGAACCAATTTGTAGGATTTGGGATGTAGATGGAAATTATGTAAAGATAGTAGGAAAATTATGTGAGGGAGGAAAAATTTATGACTTTTTCTTTCATAAGCCACCTCAGGTGGCTATCCAGGTGGCTTGAAAGCCACCTAACTCCGAAAAAAGTTGAGCACGCCTTTAATTCACATAATTTTTTCACAATTTTTCACACTTAGTCCTAACTCCCCAATGCCCATCTACACACCTATTTTGGTGTCATTTCATCTTCACTTCGCTGTAAACAAACCCATTGTTTATCTGCTGGCGGCATGCCGGCAGCGTGCCGGCCGCAGATCGAAAGACAACGTTATGCTCTTCCGCAAACGATATCCCCTTTGCTTTTTCCCCAAAAACGATATCCAGCTTGCTTGCTAAGCCACCTGTGCCGTGCCCTGCTTTGCACATCGTATTTAGTAAATGATGCTCACACTTCCCCTTAGGCAAATGCCCCTTCCCCTTTGCTTTTTCTCCAAAAACGATATCCAGCTTGCTTGCTAAGCCACCTGTGCCGTGCCCTGCTTTGCACATCGTATTTAGCAAATGATGCTCACACTTCCCCTTAGGCAAATGCCCCTGTAACTCAAAATTTGCAAAAAAATCGATTTGGTCTACGAAAATCAGTGCATGTTATTACGCTCATATTAGGGCCGCATGCACTAAGCTTCCCGCTAGGGAGGGGATCGCAGCTTAGAATAAAGCTTTATATTTCGAAACTTCAGATACCTGGATTTCACGCTGTGTACCTATCCGTAGGTATGCTTACTACCCTTCGCTATGAACATAGTGAACAGGAGCGAGAAGCTGTACGAACCGCATTTTCCAGCTTTTGGATGATCCCTGATGATCCCCGGCGCTTTTCTTTAAAGTCATTTTTCTTTCTCCGAAGTTGACGAAAACCTTCCAAAGTTGTACTGAACATCTAACGCAACAGTGCTAAGCATGTTGCTGATGAGAACAAATGAGTTTTTGAAAAGTCGAATTTTTCGGTAAACCTCAAATTTCGACCTGTGGATCATTGAAAATTTCATGACTTCAAAACATCATTTGTTCTTATCAGCAACATGCTTAGCACTGTCGGGTTAGATAATCTGCACAACTTTGGAGGGTTTTCGATAACTTCGGAGAAAGAAAAATGACTTCAAAGAAAAGCGCCGGGGATCATCAGGGATCATCCAAAAGCTGGAAAATGCGGTTCGTACAGCTTCTCGCTCCTGTTCAACATGTTCATAGTGAAGGGTAGTAGGAATACCTACGGATAGGTACACAGCGTGAAATCCAGGTATCTGGAGTTTCGAAATGTGAAGCTTTCTTTTGAGCTGCGATCCCCTCCCCGCGGCAATGTTAATGCATGCGGCCCTTAGTCAGCATGCTTCCTTACTCCCTCCCTTCCCCCCTCACCCCTCTCCCGATTCCTCACTTACCCGCCAATTCTGTGCGACTCTCAGCTTCATATGGCGTTCCACGTCTTTCAAGAAACTTTGAGGAGCGCTTTCTGATATTTGGCAGGTTCATAGTTTTGAAATTTTCAAAAGGAAACCCGCATCAGCCATGCTCCCAATTTTTTTACATAACTCAATGAATTGAATTTTGAAATTCATCTTAATTATTCGGAATTTCCAAGCTATTTGTATAGTTTTTTATCAGATGTGGGCCACATGAAAGTTTTGCGACACATTTTTAAAGAAGCCGCTTCCGCTTATACCTTTCTTGGTTCGAATGTCTGACAGATAATTTACTGCAAACCGGAAAAATGTTTGTATAGCCTTTTCGTGCTAAGAAGTAGATTTTTATACTGAAAAACAAAGGTGAACTTCACAAAAGAGTCTATGCTTGTAGACAGTGCTCGAGCAAAAACAAAATTCTAGCTTCTGAAAACAAGCTGAAGAGTAACGTATACTCCCACAGCTTGTACAACAACTCTCCAAGAAAACAATGGCATTTCGTAAAGTGATTTTTCAACTTGCAGGAAAGTTTATGCAAGATGGAGGATTTCAAAGAAGTTCTTTCATGCGAGACCAGCTAGCTCTTAAGTTCTTCCTTCAAGAGCAAAATGACATTTTTTAGTGTACTCACACTATCGAAAGCGATTTTCTGCTAGAATTCATTAAAATCTAAGGAACAAAATTTTTGAATAAGTGTTTCTCCTAAACAGCGTTGGACTCTTGCTCTTGACGATACAACGTAAATGAGAGTTTTGCTATGAAGTTTTCAAGAATATGATGGTGTTCCGCGAAATTTCGCTCATTCTCTTTTTCTTAATAATGCTCTGAATCAAAAGCGTAAAGCTTATGCTTTCTGCAGAAGCAGAGCTTACTCCTACAATCTATACAGAAGAAAAAAGACTTTTAACTCGATTACTCTCAAAGCTAATTTTTCATTGAAGGCAGTGCCCAGGCTAAACCTAACCCCCTCCGATTAGTGTCGGTCCTGAATATAGGCCCCAGAAAAGGGGCATCTGCGTTGGTCCGGTCTTCTAACGTTGTCTCTGAATGGAGATAAGGGGCCTAAAAGTCCCTGGCTGGGCGGAGTCTGATATCAGACTCCGCCCACCAGGGACTTCTGCTCACTTCCTTGTCAGTACGTGCCTCCCGGCACGTATTGACAAGGTTGTGAGCAGAAGCTGCACACTGCACACTGCAATGCAACTGCACCCATGCAGTTGCAGCTCCTTCCCGCTGGCCTGCCCACGGGGACGAACAATTCGAAACTCGTCCGCGCCCTCAAGAATGGGTCCCCAAGAATCGGGTTTTTTGACTGTAATCAGGGCCACGGAAAGGCCCCAGAATGACGAACACATGGGGGACCAAATTCTGGGTGGACGCTGCCTTTAAGTTTCATGAAGTCCTTCAGATTGATTTTTTCCAATAAAGACAAGGTGCTGTCACAAAAAATTTTCAGCAGTTTTCTTATGTGAAGAATCATTACACATATAGCTAATCGAAAATATGCGTGTGCAATGCAACTCAGTGAAAATGTACTCGAATTACGCAAAAAGGAAACTTTTCTGAGATGGAAAAAGCAGAATAAAAAAATGCGTATTAGGTCATATTGAAAGAAAAACACCTAAAAAATAATTAAGAGTAGGGTGCTGGAGCTAACAGACATGAATTAAAAGTATTTGAATGACGGAGATTTATTCGGTTACCAATTCGGCTTACAAAGCTTGTGCTTAGGCTGACGGTATCGCATTATTTGGCGGACGAATAGTTTGACAGGACACCCAGCAGTACAGCAACAAAGCTGTGAATGCGTACTCTTGAACCTCTCCCCCAGTACTCTTTGTTGAGACCTGTCCAATTTTTGGGTAGCGCCACTTGCAAGAGAAAGATGTCTAGTCGGAGTAGCCTTTCAGAACTAGATGTATACCATCTTGGAATGAATAAAGCGCTGATTCAAAATCTGCCTTTCTTAACTGCGGAGAAGCTCGCGCAATTATGAGGGTTTTTCGGGGACAGAAGTGGAATGCGTTAGAAGGAAAGTATTACTAAGATTTCCTTAGCTCAAATGATGCAACGATGAGCGCAGGTATGTTTGAACACAAAGCACTCATTGAGATGTCCTGAGAGTCACCACAGTTACTTTCATCGGTTAGAAAAATTACCATTGTTTCATCGTAATTAGGCAATCAATTTTTTGCTCCGTAAACGCTGATAACTCATTGTTTAAAAATGCTCCGCAGATCAGGTAGGCAGATTTGAAACCGGCGTTTCATCCTCTTCATTATGGTATACAGCACATCTTTCAACGCCACTTCGACGAAACATTCTTCCATTGTCTGATGACT